TAGCACTTATCACTTGCCCTAAGAACAACTTTGAGAATATGTAAGCAAATTTATCGTGGATCCATAATGGTACCGTAGCAGCATCTACTGACCTAACAAGGGATTACTTCATTACAGTGTGTGCATGGGTTGTGTGTTTAAAGACACAAGCCAGATTATGATTTGACTAATTTAATCACAAAGGAAAAACATGGGGAGAAAATCCTAAATCATTCTTGTCTGTTTAGTTAAATAAAAAGAAAGGTACACATCTAAATTGATCCCACTTTAGGGCAACTAAGCTCCCCTGCCTTGATTGAATTACGCCACAGTGATGACGACATTATTAGGGTTCTTCTTGTTCCATTGCACTTTTCTAAGAAAGAATGGTGTGCCAACAGAGTATCACACAATATTTTCAGACTAACCTTGTTATCACCTCCTCCTGGCTTGGTAGTGGTTCCACAATAAAAGCTACCCTGAGGTTTGTCACCTGTTTTTTTTTTTAAATGTGAAGTCTCAGCACAAGCTAATGTCTGCAATACATTAACAGTAAATACATCTATGTTATGCTGATATATATTTAAGCTAAAATTCAAAGCATTATCTTAGAATCCTATAAATCCTGTAAATCCTGTAGTCTGTGTGAAGGCAATTTTTATTCAGTGTAAGATCACTACGTAAAAGGATAGTCATGAAATACAGTGAATGACTGTTGAAGGAATATGACAATAAAGACAGGGTTTAGTTTCATGAAAATACAAGGGATGCTAACTTTGTTACTTTAGTCTAACTCTGAAAAATACAATGGAATTTAAAGCTTTAAGTGAGACTAATCAACTGTTTAAAGAAATGATGATTGCCATGAAGAAAGCTTGAAGTACACAGTTACTGTAGCAGCACTGCATGTGTTGGGTTTTACTGCTCTAAAACTAAAACTCTTCCTTTGGGGAAATACTGGAAACAGTGTCGAAGCTGGCGGTCGGGGTGGTGTCTCTGTCCACCACCATCAACCTCATACTGAGTCGTACAAGAGTTAGGCTGAGTTAAGTGCTGTGGGAGTGTTGC